ATACTGACCCAATAGCATATCTTGAAAACTAGAGCCAATCAACAATTTTAAGCATCATTTTCGTTCTCAGTGACCCAGAATTAGTAAAGTTTGACTACATTTATTTCAGAAGCATTTTGGCTGAAGAGCAGTGTTATTTGTAACAAACTTGTGAAGTATATTATGAGTCCCCTTCAGTGGTGGGGGGTCAATAGTAGATAGCCATCTGCTACTGCTGCCAGTTAGCAGGCTTAATGCTTTACTTCAAGTATGAAGGTTTGTGATTTTGAGCTGAAAGTCCCAGATTCAAACTCTGCTGACAGTGCATGGGGGTGAAGGGTCATCATTTCATCTATTTCCCTGATAATAAAGCATGTTACAGGCAGCACTGTTTTCAGTGGGGATACTGAAGTTCCTACATCCCAGAAACAACAGGAATTATGCACATAACTCCTAAATTCAGATGAAATTTTGACATCACTCTAGTGATAAATTTAGGGTGTGGACGCAAACTCTCTCTTTGTAAAATACTGTATAAGAAGGGTCAGCAACTAAAGCTCCCTCAGAGTACTACTTTCATTTGGAGATGAGAGAGAGAGTACACATAGCCACAAGCTCAAGGAGGGTGCAGGGAGGGAACCAGTAAAGCTAAAAACTAAATTTGTATCTCACATTGGGGGTGGGATCTTTCACAGGGGGGAAGTTTCTAGCCAATCCTTTCAGGAATCTAATTGTCATAGGATTGGAAAAAAAACAGACCTGCCTTCCTCATGAGGATGGGATACAGAGATAGTTGCCAAATGAAATCTCAGAGAACTGATAGAGAGTCTTTTACGCTTAGGTGAAGCAGATAATCCAGAACGAGTTGTATGGAAGCCTGTAAAGGTCTCAGAGGTCCCTTTCTCCTGGGGCCACAGAGAGAACCTCTTCCCTCTCTTGAGGTGAGTATACCTGGTGGAAGGCTTTCAGCTATTTAAGAGAACATTCTGGAGTCCAAAGAAACAGTCAGTTTCCTGGGGAGTTAACCACTAAGCATCCAAGCACTCACATGTAGGCTGAGAGGTCTGTGATGCAACATCTAGACATGTTGAAGGTGAAGGTGAAGTCTGGCATGCTGAGTTATGTATGTACAAGTTGCCATATGACCTAGAAGTCTCAGGCAATTCCTCACTATTGTATGAAGATACATCTTGAAGTCTTGCATAAGAGCAATCTCATCTGAAATCTGGCGTGAGGTAAAAAAGGGCTCACT